CCCCTGCAGGAGAGTGGGCCAGGATGTGGCTGCACCCAGGGGCCTGCAAATCCAGACAAACATTGCCAGACAAAGTCTTGGCCATGTGGCTCTGAGCTGGTGGTCTACCTTCCTGGGCCTCTGGCTTCTTAACCATTCACAGAGGGTAACGGCTATAAAGTGCTATTCCTGATAGCCTAACAGCTGACACTTACGGACCGTTGAAGTTCAAGTGCTTCACACAGATTCAGTCATTTAAACTTCACCCTAAGTTGTTATTATCCTCATCAAATCTCTTAGGGCTCTAGGAGGTAGGGGAAGATGAGGTGGCCTGGCCGGGCAGTGTCACAGAACCTCAGTTCATGAGGCTTTGTCTCACTTCAGCACATCCAGCAGATTTGCTGAGCACCTGCTATGTGCACAGCACAGCTGCCATGTGGGACACCGTATCCCAGGCAGCTGGTCCTGCCCCCAAGGAGCCAAGCCCAACACCAGACCCCTAAGGAGGAACCCCCAGCTAGGTCCTGGCAAGGCAGCTGGTGGTGGTGACAGTGGGCAGGTGGATGTGGTGGTGGCAGAGACTTCCTGGCAAAGGGCATTGTGAGGACGCCCAGAGCTGGGGCTGTGTGCCAGGGAGCCTGGGGACAGCGAGCAAGCAGGATGGCTGTCCAATGGTGGACAAGAGGACTGGAGGACAGAGGGAGGGAGAGGGTGGATGGCTGTGGAGGCCACGGTGAAGACTTGGCTTCCACTGTGAGGGACACCAGCTCTGGAACCCCTGGCCCTTCCTGTAGCTAACCCGTGCCCCAGGCTCTGGGACCCATGGCCTTGACCTGGGCCTTGCATTTGGGAGACTCTGGGTCCAGCCCACATGGGTTTACTGTCCTGGGATGAATGCAGGGTAGTCTAGAGGTTTATGGGGGGACAGTCCTGTTGTAGCCCTTACCCGGCCAGGACATATTCCAGAAGGAGGCTGGAGCCCAGGTCGGGTCCTGACAGGTCTGTGGTCCTGGCTGTGCCTTGTGAGTGGCAGAGGTGGGCGGGCTCTGGCCTGAAGCCTGCACCCGCCGGAGGCAGTCAGGGCCTGTACCTGCTGACGAAGGGCTAGCCTTCCTTCTCTACTCCTGGGCTTTTGAGGACAAAGAGAAAAGCAAACCCTCAGGAGGTCCTCAGCACCATTCATGGCGTTTTACAAACACTGACTTGCTGCTGCGTCCTCACCGTGACCCTGTGGAGTGGGTACCAGCATCCGCGCATCCACAGACTGAGAGAGACAAGGCACAGAAAGGTTATGCACCTTGCCTGAGGTCATAGGGCCTGGCCCAGGCCAATGCTGGCTGCAGGGCTGCCAGGCACTGGCTCTCCTTGACCACGGGACACCGACCACCTGAAGGCTGCTAGGGCTGGGCTGCCTGGGTCGCCTGTCCAGTTCACCAATCTACTGCCTGGTGCCAGTGTGGCCATCTCTGTCCCTCCTGTAGGGGGATGGGGGCGGGGGAGGCAGTGTGACAGTGTCACTCATGCAGCAGGCACAGCTCAAACCACTTTCCCTGGAATGGCTTTATTTAACCTCACATCCACCAGAGGATGTGGGTGCTGGCGACACCCCCAGGCTGTATCAGAAGAAACCGGGCACTGGGGAGCACGGACTTGGCCAAGATGATAAAGCTGGAGGGAGGACTCTGAGGGCAGGATTCCCACCCAGGTGGTGTGATGCTCAAAGCCACATATCAGTCTCTGGGTGGCCTTCAGGGTGGGGCTGTGGTCCCCGCTGTGGGACTGAGGTGGTGTGTGGCATGGAGCACTTGGCCCCTGCTCCCAAGTCGGGATGGCACTGGGAGATGTGACGTGTCCTCTCTGTAGGAGCAGGAGAGGGGAGACAGGGCCTGGAACAGAGGCTTCACAGCCTAGCTATGTACGTGGGGAGGGGGTGGGGAGCAGGGGAGAGCAGCCTGGGAAGACGGCTTGGCCAGGGACCATCGGCCTGAGCTCCCTGGCCTGCCAGGATGTGGCTCTCACCGGCTCAGCCTGGGTCCCTACCCACAGCAGCGACAAGTCCCACGTTCTCCTGCACTGCCTGCTGCTCTAAGACCCTTCCCCAGCTCGAGGACACGGACCTAAAGCCCGCCACCCAACATGCCTGGTTCCCAGGGAAGGTCAATGCTAATGCCACCCTGGATGAGGGTGAGCAGGTGGACAGCCTCTGTCCAGGGTCCTTTCCCTCCCTGATTTCCTGGGTAATGCTAGTCCGCGTCCTGTTATACAGAGGAGAATGCTGATGCCCAGAGAGGTGGAGTGACTCACAGAAGGTCACACAGCAGCGAAGTGAGCTTCAAGGCCGGTATTCTGTAGCCTCAGGCTGCCACGGACTTCTGTGGTCCGAGGCTGAGCTGCCATGTCAGCTCCTGGCCCCTGGTCCAGCTCCTTGGCAATACCCATTGGCTTCACAGATGCTTAGGGAAGGCTGGTACTTCTGAGTGGCTCCCGTGCATCTGGGTCTCCACCTCTCCTGCCTGAACAAAACTTGGAACCGCTTGGACCGGATCCTGGACAAGGAGGAAGCTCCCAGCCAACAGACTCTTTAGTCCAATTCTCTGGACCGACAATCTTGAGAAGGCCTGGGCCTAGAACCTGCAGCTACGTGCTCATGCTGAGGAAAAAAAAGGTTCATGGCCAATGTCTCCAGCACTGGGCAGCACTGGATGGGAAGTGAGAGACCCCAAAAGACTTCACATGGGCCACTGCTCCGTGCATGTTGCAACCTGGCCACAGGGTGGCAGGGATCACCTCCGTGTGCAGAACGTACACAGAGGTCGCCTGCCAAGCAAATACTTTCCTGGCTTCCCCGCTGGGCCTGCAAATCCGATGCCGGCAGCAGGAGCTGGCAGGTGGCCTGCAGGAGTGAGCAGGCCAGGTAGGACTCGGGGTAAGTCTGACGGAAGCTGGAGACTGCCACATCGCCGGGTGGCCCCCCAACACCAGCATTTGGACAGGGACTATCTCAGGCACCGACAATGATGACAAGGACCTATAGGCAATGACAAGCTCAGCCCTGCACACACAGACAGACACACACAGCTGCCACTGACTCCAAGCTACCAAACCAGTCCCACAATGTACCTGTCCAGGGGAAGTAGAGGCAGGTGGCTGCTGTGGACCCATCCCACAAGTTGGAGGAGGCGGGGCAGGGGGCTCTTCAAGGGAAACAGAGTCAGGGGACAAGAGGAGAGGAGGGACAGATGCCATTGGCCCACAAGGGGATGGGACAGCTGATGGCTCAGTGGGGAGTCACTGCAGAGCAATGAGGCCCCAGAGGAGGCGAGGCCCTACTTGCTGCAGCCCTCTGGTTTCCTCATCGCTGGCCCTGAGCACAGCGACCCCACTCCCAGCTCTTTGGCCCTGGTTCCAGCCTCTTGCTTCCGTGTGTGTATATATGTGAGAGAGAGAGAGAGAGAGAAAAGCTCCTGGAGGGGAGTGAACTCAGACACGTGGACCCTCCTGCATGCTTCTCAGGGTCTCCCCCTTTGATCCACCTCAGCCCCCACAGCTAGTTCTGGGAAATGCCACCTGTTTACCCAAGGTCACCCGGTCTGCAGGGTGGCCAGCTGCCCCCTACCCCCTGGCCCAGGCCTCACTGCCTTGCTGAGTGTGGCTGCTTTCAACGTCTTGGAGGCTGCAGGAGGGGCTGTTGCCAGAAGTCGCCTCTCCTGTTAGCCACATCCTTACCCCTGGGCCAAGGTCAACAGCAGGGGGGGCCCAGGTGGGGCATGTGACTTTGCTCTTGGCCAGTGCGAACAGAGGAACCAGCTGCCCAGACCTGGAGTCTGCAGGATGATGGGGGTCAAGAGCTGGTTAGTTGGACCAACTCCATCCAACTGAGTGTGGCTTGGGTCAACTGAGGCCAGCTGAGGGCTCTGCCAGTCACAGGAGAGGGGACCTTGACTCCGGCCAGTGACAAGGCAGACAGTCACTACAAGCTGATGACATGGACACAGGATTCCTAACACAGCCAGCGGTGGTTTCCTGCACCCAGACCCGGCCTCAGCGAGCCTTTGCTTGCTCACCTGCCAAATGGGGTCAGCATCCTGGTTTGCCCATGGAGGTACAGAGAAGAGTTGAGGAAGTCCCAGCAACACAGAGCAGGCTTGAGGAAGTGTAGGAGGGGGCAGGGGTGCAGGGGCTTTGGTCTAGAATTTTAGGGAACCACATGCCCTAGGCCTCTCAGCTCCCCAAAATGGCTAGGTGGGGTCCTGCTTTGTAGACCACCTGCAAAGTGCACTCAGGAACCTGGCAGGTCCCCTTGGCTGAGGAGGGCACCTGACATTTTTTTTTGAGGGTGGTGGGTGGCCAGGCTAGGGTTTACTCGCCTTGCAACACTTGCAACATCCGAGGACCGAAAGGTGCCCTGACCCCCCATGGTGGCTGCTTTATCTAGCCCATGTCCCCAGGCCCTAGGGCCCCTCCCTGTCCTGCAGGGAGCAGAAAGTACCCCCTGGGTGAAGACCCTCACAGTCTGCCCCTCCTCTGTGGCCCACCCCTGGCTCTCCACACACCCCCCTTCCCACCCTGTCACAGACAAAAGACACCCAGCCATCACCAGGGCCACCTAGGGCAGGCCCCCTCACCTGTGAACACTCCCATATTTCCTCCCGGGGGAGGGGGGGACTTCATTGAGGAAGTCAGGTTGGCCCTGGTGGGGGAGGGGCTTTGTGCACCCCAAGGACCTGGAGCCAACACTAGCAGCTCAGTTTTTGTTTTTTTTTTCGGAGGGGGGGGATCCAGCCCCGACTTCCCCCTCCCCTCTTGATGGCACCTGGGACACCCCCACCACGCCCCCGTGGGACTGGCCAGCGGTGGCCAAATCCCAGGGCTAGGCTGTGGGGGAAGGGAGAGGAGGAGGGGGCGGCTCCTCCGAGCGAGACACAAAGAGACGCCCTTCAGCCTTGGCTCCATGGCGACGCTGGGGAGGGGGAGCGCGCACCCAAGGACTTCCTGCCGCCCCTCACCTGGGCCCGGCTTACCTGGGCTGGGGCCGCGGGGACGCCGCGGCAGGGGGTCTGGGCGCCGTCTCGGTCTTCGTCTGCCCGGCCCGGGGTGGGCTCAGGGCGCCACGATCATAGGCCGGGATGCGAAGGGCACAGCTAAGGGCTCGGTCGCCCCGGGCCTGAAGCTTTGAGGAGCGGGTCCCCAAAGCTGCCTGCTGGTGACGGGTGTCTCCGGCTGTCCTTGGGTCCCTAGAGCTGGGATTTCTGTGTACCGGAGTTGGGGGGGCAGGGTGCCCCGCTCTGGGGACGTTCTGAGCTGGATCTCCGTGTCTTGAGGTGTGGAGTTGTAATGACCTGTACCTTGGGAGGGGGTGCCCGTAATCCCGGGCCGGGGGCACACTGCGGTCTGGGTCTTAGGGGGGTTCGGCTAGAAGATGGTGAGTCTTCGTGGCGGGGAAGGGGGGTCGCTCTCTTCCAAATAAGAGGAAGCCTTGGCTCGTCCCCGCTGGGGAGTCTCTCTGGGTTCGATCCGAAGAGGCCCCTCGCTTTCCTGGGGGGTTCGCTGGATCCTGGGCGGTGGTCGTGGTGGTTGTTGGAGTGGAGAGGGGGTGGGGGGGGTCCCCCAGCTCTCCGGCCGCAGGAGGCTGCCTGGGTCCCGGCCACCAGCGGGCGAGCTGTGGGAGGAAGCCCCTCAGCCGCTGGGGGGCTCCGTGGCCGCCGCTACGAGCAGCCCGGCCCTACGGTGCCGGCCGCCGGCCTGGCCCGGGCTGCGGCTGCGGCTCCGGCTCGCGCTCCGCCTGGCGCTCGGGCCCCGGCCCCGGCGCCCGCCCGGGCTGCGCTCCATCGCGGCATCGCGGCTCCGCCCTCGGGCCCGCGCGCACCTGCCCGCCGGCTCGGCCGAGCTCCGCCCTCCGGCGCGCGCGCCGCCGCCGCCCGCCCCTTTGTCCGCCCCGCGCGCGCGCGTCCTCGCCCCACCCCGGGCGCGCGCTCAGGGACCCTCCGCGCCGCTCCGCCTTCCTGCCGCGCTGGGTCCTAACGCCCGGGAATGCGCGCTCGTGCTCTCTCTCCTCCCAGCCACATCTTTTCTAGGTCAAAGCCCACGAGAGGGCGAGAACGAGGTTAGAGAGGACTCGGGGGAGTCTGAGAGGGTCACCTGGTCCAGCTGCCCGCTCCTCGAGGGACCAGGCTGCCCCAGACTGTCCCAGTCTAGTCGTTGCTCATGGGGGAGGTGGGGATGGCGCCCGTGCGTATTTGGAGGAGCTGTGTGATCCCGCAAGCCGTTGCTTAGCCGACCGACTGGCCTGTCCTTCCTTCCTTCCCGTCTAGTTCAATCGAGACCTTGGAGACGTGACCGGGGGGCGCAGGTGGGGAGGGGAAGGGAGGCTTCGGGGGTCCATTCAGCCCAGGTGGCCCTGCTACCCTTGCGGTGGCCCAACCTTCTCCGGCTGGCCCCAGCTAAGGCGAGCAGGTGGAGTGCTCAGGTGCTGCAGAGTAGGGTCACGAGGGCGCACAGGGGCACAGGTGGACAAGCCCTGTTTGGTAGGCGGGGCAGCTCGCGGCAGAGATGGGTTGGGGACAACCCTCCCCACCTTCTCTGGCATCCCCAGCCCTCCTCCCGGCGGCCCTGCCCGCACCTGCTGTGACTTCCCCAGTCCAGCCTCCTCTTTCCAACCACACCGGCCCAGGCCCACGTAGACTCAGGTATGTGTGGGTGCGGCTGGGGTCAGGCCCAAGGTCAGGATGTGGCCAACCACAGCAGAGGTCTCCTCTGGGGGTGGGGTGGGGAGGGGGTTGTTTTCAAGAGAAGCAACCAAAAAATCCCTGTTTTCACATAAAAATCTTCAGACTTCCAGCTGTTTGGAAACACAGGATAGTGGGCTATGTGAAACCCACTGGGGACACTCCTGACGGGGGACTTTTGGCCCAGCTGACTTCCTGACTCTAAGCCTTTTCTGTCCATCAGCAACCTGTCGTTCAGAGCCCTGGCCCCATCTTCTTCCGGTGGCCTTGACCTCAGCCGTACTGTTCTGCTTGCTGCTCTGGGACACCTGCTGCCTGCCTCGCCCTTTTTGCTCAGGTACGTTCAACTTCCCACATCTGCAGAACCCTTATCTGCTTCTAGCTCTTCCAACAAGTCTTGATATAGAGGAGGCAACTGTGGCCTCAAAAGGGACAGGGGTAGGACCAGGCCTTGAAATGTTCCCAGCCACAGAGACCAAGAGCCTTCTGGTTCAAGCCCACCTCTGCAGGGACCACCCTGGGATTCCTCACCTGGCGTTTTGATGACCCAACCATGCAGGTAGTAAAGGTTCGTCAAAATGCATTGCAGGTAATCAGATCACAAGCGCCACCCCACCCCAAACCCTGCCCTTCCGGGATCTGCAGAGTTGGGGGAGACCTGCTTCTCAAAGAGGGTACACTTTCACGGGGAGGGGAGGAGCGTGCACAGCAAGGGGCCAACGGCACCTGATAAGTGGCCACTTGGGACACCTGTGTGCGTCCCATACTGGGGTGCTCGGTCCTGAATCCAGCTCCCTGCTAACGCATATCGTGAGAGGCGGCAGGGATTGGCCCAAGTACCCGTGCTCTTGTCGGGAAGTGGGGGAGACCTGGATGGAGTTCTAGGCTTTCTGACTTCTGGTTGGCCTGGCCTGGGCTGTTGTGGCCGCTGGGGGAGTGAGCCAGCAGATGGAAGAGCTTATCTCACTCAAATCCTGTCTCCCGTGTCTCTTCCTTTCAAAAAATAAACTCAGAAATGGAAGGAAGGAAAGAAAGAAAGTGAGAGAGAGAAAGAAAGAAAGAAAACCCATCTACTGTGTACATAAAGAGGCTCGCTCTGCTTCCCAGGAGCTCCTGGTGTAGCGCTGCCCTGCTCCCTGGGAACACTGGGCTCCTCCCAGAGCAGCTTGCCCTTGGCTTTGCTGGAAGTTCATCCTACACCTGTCTCATCCCTCTTCCAGAGCCTGCTCTTGCTGCCCAAAGGGTTCTTCCATTTCCCTCCTTCCCTCCCCAGTAAATCACGGTCTGCTTCTCAGAGGACGGAACCCACACGGTCCCTCTGAGTACAGGAACCGCAGCACCTGTTCTCAGGGGTGTGGCCCCTGCCCTTGACCACCCAGAGATAGGCCACTCTGGCTGGCTCAGAGGTTTGTTGCCATAGCAATGCTACCTTCCTGGCACTCTTGATGGATCGCAGAGCACAAAGATGAACCTTAGCTATGATTTCCCCAACATAGAAAAAAAAAATAAACTGAAATAGGGGCTGGTATTGTGCTAGCATCTCATACAACTGCTGGTTCGAGTCCCTGCTGCTCTAGTTCCAATCTGATTCCCTTGCTAATGTGTATGGGAGAGTAGCAGACGCTAGCCCCAATGCTTGGTTCCCTGCCATCCATGTAGGGGACTTGGAAGGCGTTCCAGGCTCCTGGCTTTGGGTGTGACATCGCTCTGGATATTGGGGGCCATTTGGAGGGAGTAAACCACATCAGATGGAAGATACTGTCTCTCTTCTGTGACTCTGTCTTGCAAGTAAATAAACCTTGAAAAACAAAACAAAACACAGCAGTCAGCACTGCACCCTGCCCTAGCAGACACCTGAGGCCAGGAACCCTGGGGACTTCTGAGCGTTAAGTGTTCACTGACTTGTCAGCTATTTCTGCTACTATCGAGGGAAGCGAGAAATTGCAAGAGCCTTTCATGTCCTTTGCCATCTTTGCACCATGATGTTTTTGGAATTCGGGGTATGCTGCTCGTTGCATGGCCTGCTGGGCAATTGTACTGGCCACACAGATAGTACCCACCCCCCTGTGGTGGCCTGGCACTCTGTCACAGTCTCCAGGCAGGGAGAGTGGCAAAGTACAGTATTCAATTCCCCTTGAGGATGCCGTGATGTTCCTCATTGCTCACAGAAGGTCGTGTGACGTGCTGTCCCCAGGATGGCCACCATCATGCCCAGGACATGGACACTGAAAACTAGCACACGCACAGCATGATCCATCAGGAGTCCTGCCTGGCAGATAGCCAAGTTCAAGTTGTGACAGATAAAGCCGAGAGGTTCCCCTGGAAACCCAGGCAGATCAGAAGGGAGTCGGCGTGGCGCGGCAGCTCTGAGAGCCTGCAGGCAGGATGCCTCTGAGGGCACAGCATGGCAGTGCCCAGGGAAAGCCCTACCTGTTGGTCACCACGCAGCCCTGCCCAGCCACGCTTGGGGCTGGAAATTCTGGTCCTTGCAGCTGATTGTGTCCTGGGTGGGGTAGGGATGGGATAGGGGGGCAGTGAGAGGAGCTGGGAAATCAGGAGTGGCCCTGCAAAGGGGGTGGCAGAGGGGCTGCATCTGTGTCCCTTTGTCTTTGGGCTTGCAAACGACCTGACACGCATAGGATTAGGGTTAGCCCTGCTTCCACTGAGAGTGCGCTCCGGTGGACACATCGCTGGATGCATTTTTTTTCTTTCTTTTAAGATTGATTTTATGGGCCCGGCGCGGTGGCGCAAGTGGTTAAAGGTCCTCGCTTTGCACGCCCGGGATCCCATATGGGCACGGGTTCTAATCCCAGCAGCCCCGCTTCCCCTTCCAGCTCCCTGCCTGTGGCCTGGGAAAGCAGTCGAGGACAGCCCAAAGCTTTGGGACCCTGCACCCGCGTGGGAGACCCGGAAGAGTCTCCTGGCTTCGGATCGGCGTAGTATCGGCCCGTTGCGCTCACTTGGGGAGTGAATCATCGGACGGAAGATCTTCCTCTCTGTCTCTCCTCTCTGTATATCTGCCTTTCCAATGAAAAAATAATAAAAATAAATCTTTAAAAAAAAAAGATTGATTTTATTTTTATTGGAAAGTCAGATGCACAGAGAGGAAGAGAGACAGAGAGGAAGATCTTCCATCCATTGATTCACTCCCCAAGCAGTCACAAGGGCCGGAGCTGAGCTGATCCGAAGCCAGGAACCCAGAGCCTCTTCCAGGTCTCTCACGCAGGTGCAGGGTCCCAAGGTCATCCCAAAGCCATCCTCGACTGCCTTCCTGGGCCACAGGCAGGAAGCAGGGCTGCCGGGATTAGAACCGGTGCCCAGATGGGATCCCAGTGCTTGCAAGGCGAGGAATTTTAGCTGTTGGGCTGCCCCCTGTAACCGTTTTTTTAGGACTGTACTTGCCCCATGTAGAGGGTTGATACTTCTGGATCCTGGGCCTCCGACATGTTCACAGTGGTTCTGGACAGGGGTCAGCGTTGTGGCTCCAAGGGTTAAATTACCACCTGCTTTGCATCAACATAGGCATTCCGTATCAGAGCAGTGGTTCGAGTCCCGGCTGCTCGGGTTCCCATCCAGCAACCTGCTAAATGTGCCTGGGATGGCAGGAGAAGATGATTCAAATGTTTGGATACTTGTCACCCACCTGGCTGTTGTGGTCATTTTGGGGGTAAACCAAGGGATGGAAGAGCTCTCTGTCTCTTCCTCTCTGTCTCTTTTTGTCTCAGAATTCCAAATAAAGAAGTTATTAAATATCAGAGGATCTGGATGTCTGTGCTCCTTGCACTGGGATGGGTCATCATGCTTGCAGTGTGAGGACCCCATCAGCTTTGAACCCAAGAGTGCAGAAAGCAACTTGCTCTCTGGTTGCAAACCCTCCTGTCCAAGGCAGGGACTCCCAGGGCTGGCTTGGTCCCAGTTAGCTTCTGCTGGATGAGGAACTGGTCTCCTAGGAGATACAGGCACATGGCAGGAAGCAGGTCCTCCTGTCC